ATAATTTTGACCATTTGTGGGGGAGGTACTTGATGGAGTGGACCGGTAGTGTCTATTTTTACACCTGACCTAGTAATAATGCAAATATTAGGATTTGCAAAGTTGGAGCAAAATCGGATTATCTTTTCTCTTTCTGTGCAAAAAATATATTTTTTTGAAAATTTAGACCTTTTGTGGGCTAGGTACCAGAAGGAGTGGACCGATATTGCCCATCTTTACACCAGACTTTGGGTTAATATAAATATTGGGATGTTTGAAGCTTGAAGACAATCGGACTCTTACATCACATTTTATGAGAGTTGTATTATTCAAAATGTTGACCATTTGTGGGAAAGATACTTGATGGAGTGGACCGATAGTGTCTATTTTTACACCTGATCTAGTACTGATGCAAATATTAGGATTTGCAAAGATTTCTCTTTCTGTGCAGTAAAATGTTTGCTTGAAAATGTCGACCTTTTACCTTTTGTGGGAGAGGTAGCAGAAGGAGTGGACCGATATTGTCCATCTCCGAACTCGATCTAAGTTTGGTAATAATATTACGATGTACCACGTTTGGACCAAATCGAATACAACCTTCGAGAGTTAACGTGTGCAGCAGCTAGCAGACAGACAAAATGACGGACGGACATCGCTAAATCGACTCTAAATGTCCTGAAACGGATTTGGTCCGAAGGGTCCTAGGGTCTAAAACCGTTATTTCGACTATTCACATTTTGACCGTATCAAATGATATATACCCTCTGTATATATCCAGCATCCACAAAAGCTATTGTGTAGTTGGAACTTCGGATCTGGATAATATTACAAGCTTTACTAATGATCATGTGCCTGTTAGAGTCACCCTGCGAAGTTTTCTTAATTTAAGATTCAGCTAAACTCAGACACAACTATCTACCTTTCATCTCTCATAATTCCCATCACTTCTTTTATGTTATAGCACAGAAAAAAATATCCTTAATCAGCATAAAATTACCATATAGTCCATATTATTTTAAGCTAATCTAAAAATTGTAAATATTTAAAATTTTTCATTTATAATTTAGGCCCCAATCTATTGGCAATCCCTTAAAAAGGAAAAAAATGCCAGAATTCCAGGTCTATTTTTATTAGTGTTTAAAGGCCCATTAACCAAACCAATTTATTCCTGCATTACCTCCCATTGCCAAACCTTTGTGCAACGAAAAAAAATATGCCACCAAAAAAATACTCTTCCATGCTCATTTTGTATCTGTAAAATTTGGAAGAAAGCTTTAGGCGATCTTTTGAACCTTCATGGTGTTTGGCCATTTTTATTCTACAAAAAAAGCCACTATTTTTTCTTGGATTTAGCTGCTAAATCCATCCACTAAAAGTCATATCATGATTATAATTTGTGTGTTTGTGCAGCTGGAGAAGAAGACGAAGTATAGCAGCAGCCTTCGAATAAAAACAAATGGCAATTGAAGCGGTAAAATAGCGCACAGCAACACCAACAAATTGACTGTTGTCAGGGCAGACAAAAAATTGTTAAATAAATAAATAAACGTGGTGTTTTTTTACCTTCCTAACTCTTTGTGGTCACAAAGTTTAGTGACAACAACAACACCAACAAAAAATAAATAAATTTAAATAAAATCATAGACCATTTGCCATAACTTTTAAGTTCAGACTCCATGACTATCTTTCTTCTTCGTCTCTTTTCGTTTGGCATAGAGAGACATCAGTTACACTACAAACACCTTCTACTTTCCTGCCAAGAAAGGAAAAAAAAACAACAAACTTCCAACATTTCTTCTTACGTTTTTCATGGGATGGCCCACCTTACGGTGAACTTTTCTAGACAAACATGAAATTCATAGCAATGAGGTTATTCCAAGATAGCCTCAGGTTCAAAAGAATTGCCAGAGGAATTTAGGCTAAAAACGCCAAATTCTAGCAATTTAATCCTAAATTTATATCAAATATTTGACATTTGCCTTAACTGTTGCAGTTGCTGCAGTCCACCACAGACCACTGACATAGGAGTTAGGTGGTTTATGGCGCACTTGCAAGTTGTCCATGTTAGCCGTAGTTGTTGTAAATCTGCATTAAATCATACGCCTACACAGCGTTGCAAAGACAAGTATGTACATACATACGTACATGCATATATATTTGCGGGAAAGGCAAGAAGTGAGGTCTTTTTGTATACATTTAGACAATATTAAATATTTTTTTCTTTGCTGCTTGAAAGGTATTTATCGAAGTGTATTTTTGTGTGCTGACAGGGTGTTAATATATTTATATTAGCAGCGTCCAGTCCAGCTGAGTAATTATCCACTTTTTATACCCTCAGCCATTTGGCTAGAGAGGGTATATATCATTTGATACGGCCAAAACGTGCCGCACCGAAATAACGGTTATAGACCTCTCTTTGGACCAAATCCATTTCAGGGCATATGGAGTCGATCTCCATCCGTCCGTCTGGCTGGTGTGCACGAAAAATCTCGAAGAGAGTATCTGATTTGGTCCAACCTTGATACATCATAATATCATTATCAAATTGTGATCGAGTTTGGAGATGAACAATATCGGTCCACTCCATCTGGTACCTTTCCCACAAAGGGTCTAAATTTTGAATAATTATAACTCTTATAAAATGTGATGTAAGTGTTCGATTATCTTTAAATTACACACATCACAATATTGCTATTAACCCAAGGCCTAGTGTGAAGATGGAATTTATTGGTCCACTGATTCTGGTACCTCCCCCACAAAGGGTCAACATTTTGAATCACCAAAACGATTATAAAATCCGAAATAAGCATCCGCTTCACTTCGTATTCCACACATCCCATTATTTCTACTAACACAAGATCTGCTATAAAGATGGAATATATCGGTCCACTACTTCTGGTACCTCCCCCACAAAGGGTCAAAAATTTGAATATTTATAAAGCTCATAAAACGCGAAATTAACATCTGATTCCATTCAGATTTGGTGCATCTCAAAATTTCCAACAACACAAGATCTCTTATAAATATGGTAGAGATCGGACCATTTCTTCTGGTACCTCTCCCACAAAGGGTCAAAGTTTTGAATAACCAAAACGATTATAAAATCCGAAATAAGCATCCGATCAAGATCTGGTGTGAATGTGAAACATATCGGTCCACTCCTTGGTATCTCCCCCACAAAGGGTCAAAATTTTGAATATCTATGAAGCTAAATAGACGCGAAATGAACATGCGATTCCATTCAGACTTGGTACATCTCAATATTTTCATCAACACAAGATCTGTTATAAAGATGGTAGAGATCGGACCATTTCGTCTGCTACATCCCCCACAAAGGGTCAGAAATTTCAATAACTATAAAGATCATAAAATCCAAAAAAAGTTCTGCAAATTTCACACATGCCATTATTAACTCACAAGATATACTGGGACAAAATGGGAACGGCGAACTTCCCCCACAAAGGGTTCAAAGTTTTGAAAATCAAGCGCTCACAAAAAAAAAAGCGAAATTAGCAACCAATTTTCTTCAAATTTCACACATCCAAACATTTTTGCTAACGCAAATGAGAGATATCTGCCAACCCATTCTGGTACCTCAGCCACAAAAGATCACAAGTACCAATAGGGTGAGATAAAAAAACTGCAACAAAGTCAAACGCCATAATTTTTATTTTTTTACTTTTATTGAATAATATTTTTCGGCCACTGCGACTCGGGTTTCGAATAAGTCGCTTCTTTACTCTTCAAACCATTCCTGCTGACGATGCTGCTTTCTTCCGTCCACTTCCTTGACGTCGGGCTACGATACCAGTATCACGGTAACGAGCGATGGTACGAGACACAAAAGATTTATTCACATTTAAATGCTGGAGTGCTCTAACGATAGCCACTTGTGGTTTTCCAGCCAAATATAAAGAAATCACACTATCACGTTTGAATTCCATCACGAATAACTTTTTTTCTGAAAAATTCTCACCAAAATGTTTTTGTAGGCTTGTTAACAATATTATGAGCTAGCTGTCACTGGAATAATTTTAACAATTGTCGGACGAGTGGCTTAGAAATGACAGCAGTCTGAAGTTGGTTGCAGTTTTTTCATCTCACCCTGTATACAAAGGGATACCTATCGTTTGAAATGTATTTCGCAACATTTAATATAGAGCTTTTGAAATTTGATGGAGATGTTTGGAATATATCCATAATAATTGTTGTCGAAAATGGGTTATATCGGTCCTTTTTTTGGAATAGCCCCCATGGAAGGATAATTCCGATTTCATTTTTCACATTTCGGCCAAAATTTCCATTCAATTTCTTCAAATATTTGTATTTTGAATTCTTAAGGACGCTATTTGCAAAAAATTATAAATTTCTTTGGCACCTTATGCCTAAAACGAAATTTTATGTTACTTTCAGGCGTCAACTCAAAAAAAGTCCGACAAAACCCGATCAAAAAATACAAAAAAACATTGAAATATTTGCATTTCTTTAATATACTTTAAAAATATAGAAAGAGTGATAATTGAAGAAATAATATTCTTGTCTCTGACGTCAGCTTTCAAAAATGATGCTTTGTTGGAGATTTTATATATGAGTAAGATTAAGACTTTTAATGTCTACTAGGACCTATTGTAGAATATTATGACAAATATTTTTTTTAAATATTTCAACTTAATACGATCCCGTTTGATGGGAGTTTTTAACCATATTTTGAAAAAAGACCAAAAATAACCCTTGTTGGCTCGCTTAGCGTTTAAATTTTTCCACCAAAATATTCCATCTATTTTTATTTGCAATATTGTTATATATATTATCTGACTATATACCTAAAATGAACGGATTTTAATTTGAAATTTTCCAAAAGTTTTGTCAGGTCAACTTTCAAAACGCCGATAAAGGTGTGTTCTTTTTTTTACTACTCTACTTTCATAATATGCCAGATTTTCCCCGTAATGATTGAAAAAATCGAATTTTGTTGCACAGTGTAATTTAGCCATCATAAAATAATTATCTTCTTATTTCAGAGGCACTCCACGAACACATACGGCTGCCCCAGGTTCGGGAAAAATTGTCTACACTTTCGGTAATCCTTCTCTCATTACCAATGCCCAATGGTCGTTTACAACACCACAACCGAGAATAAGTGTAAAACAACTGCTACAGCATGAAGGTAACTGTTTGGGACCCGGTACTAAAGCCAAATATATGTTTGATAATCTCTACGAGAAAGCTGAAATTGCTGGAGATCGTGTCTTTGAAATTGGCAAGGCCTTATGCAAGAAGGTATTTGGCGAAGATACCCTGGACTATGAACTGGGTCAGGTGGATATGCATTCTCAGGTGAGTTGGAGGGACATTGACATACACATTATATACAAAATAATAATCTTACCTTTCTTTAGGATGTCATAAAAACCATTGGCGTTGTTCACAGCGATTACGATGGTCCTTTGGATCCATCATCAACAATATTGGTTGGTTCGAATGAGGCCAGCTGCCATACGGTACGTTTGAATTTCTCCAAATCCAAATCAGTGGGTATATTTCCCGGGCAAGTTATCATGGTCTCAGGAATGAATCCCAAAGGTGATGTCCTGATGGTGGAAGAAGTTATTACCGAACAAAATTTACAACCACCAAAACCTCCACAAATTGCTGATCGTTTAAGTTTTGTCATAGCTGCTGGTCCCTACACAAATGACGATGATTTGGTCTACGATCCCCTACAAGATTTAGTTATGTATCTAAAAGAGAATCGTCCAAATGTTTTGATTCTATGCGGCCCCTTTATGGAAGCTGGCCATAAGGTTATCAGTGACAATGTAACATTGGCCGAACCATTTGAGGCATTCTTTGAAAAAATGATAAATGGTATTGTTGAAGCCATTGGCCAGGAAACAACAATTCTCGTTGTGGCATCACATCGTGACGCCCATGCCGATTGTGTTTATCCCACAATGGCCATCCAGATGAAGAAAACATTTCCCAATGTCCATATGTTGCCAGATCCCTCGATTGTGGATCTAAATGGTTTGGTTATTGGCATGACTTCTACAGACATTGTAGATCATATTTTGGCTGAGGAGTTGGCTGTGTAAGTTGTAACATGGAGCGACAATTTTGTATTGATTATTAATAAATTATTCTTTTTGGTAGCAATGCTGGTGATAAGGTTAAACGTGTTGTCAATTATCTTTTACATCAGAAATCGTTTTATCCCCTAAATCATCCCAAAGAAGATCAAATGTGTCTGGACAGTGATTTGGCCAACAAATATGCTCGAATTGAGAAAATTCCAAATATTTTAATATTACCCAGTACTCAGAAGTGTTTCTTGAGGGTAAGTCTTGGGTTCCGTACCAATTTGCTATAATTTCTAACCCCAACAACATTTTGCAGGTTGTCAATGGATGTCTGGCAATAAATCCGGGACGTTTGGCGGATAACAATGGTGGCACATTTGCACGTTTCATCATAAATCCACCCGCTCCCAAGGAAGAGGCCAATCTCTTCAATTATGTTGGATGTCAAGTGCGTAAAGTTTAATTGGACTACAGGAAAACGGCAAACAAGCAAATGGACTACAAACTATATTAACTAAATCTATAAAAAAAATGTTGTTAACAATTAATAAAAAAAAAGTATTGCATAAACAGTTACATTATTTATTTTTGTTTTTTAAACAAACTAACAAACATTATAAAAGTCTCAAATTTTACGGAAATGCTATTGACGGTTTACGTAGGTATGTATATATTTACTGTAAAAAACGGTTGGTTTTGTTTTTGATTTTTTTCAATTGCCAAAGGCACATGGGAAATATTTCTTATCGTGCTCAACAATTTCCTCCAAAATGTCATCCACCTCAGTGTCGGGATAACGTTCCACCCAAGACTTAATATAGCCCTCATGTGTGGCATCATAAGTTTTCAATTGCACGGCATTATTTTCCTCCTTGGTGTTGGCTTGTACCAAAATAACTCGGGGCTTCTTATGGGCCAAACAAATGTCACGCCATTTAGCCCAGGGATGTGAACCGCCCTCTGTGACTTCCGAATAATGTTCATACATTTTGGTGGCACTTGCAATGTCGGCGGTGCTCTTATAGACCTGTAATTTCTTCAAAAACTCCTCAATGGCTTTCTTACCGACAGTTGCAATTTTGGTGCGATCGACGGTCAGGAGCATATTTTTACTTTCCTCAGTTTCTTCAACTTTAACCAAACCCTCACCGGCCTCCAATAATACTTTCATAATGACAAAACGAGCACGAGAATGAGCCTGCATCCATTGTTTTGATTTGGGATTGAACATTTCCAGCGCCACACCCATGCCGTTCCAAATCAAAGAAAGCCAATTAATGTAAACGATTTTCTCCTGCTCGACGGGATCCTTGAAACCGAAAATTTCCAAAATATCAGGTTGCAACGAAAGATAGAGACCCACAGCTTCGGCACGACATTCCTCATAGGAGGAACCAATGGTACCGAATTTTGTGTCATAAGTTTCACCCGGTAAATACCATGTCGTAATAGGTTCTCCGGTAATCAAATTCTTTGTGGTGTCCTTGTCAAAATTGAATTTGCCATTCTCGTCGATACGGAACAGCTTTCCGCTGCCATGGCCCAAAAGTTCATGGAGACCCACTTGTACCTCAAAGGATTTTACTTTATACTCTTTCATTAGCTCTTGATCGGCCTCTGTAAGGAACGGTATGGGATCCTTTTTGTTGATATTTGCCAAAACATTGCCGAGGGAAACATTTTTGAAGCCCTCATCCTGGCGGATTTCATCATCTATGGAAGAAATTTCTTTAGATAACAATATTTAAAAACAATGTGTAATTCAACTTACAGTTGGGAATGTTTATACCAGCTGGTACACCACTGCCGGCAAATGTTAAAACATCTAAAGATGTAAAGTCCGGTTTCAAATACGAATCCTTTTCATATTCCTTTGTCCAAGGCAAATATTCCAATAGTTTTTCAGCCTTGGCCACCAATTCTGCAAATTTAGCTGAACTTTCCTTGTTGACCATGGCCACAAAGCCTTCAAATTCCGCACGTCCACCTGCGGGATCACGATAGGTTTCAATGAAACCAATATAAGTTTCAATTACTGGCCCCTTGTCCTTAATCCAGTATCTAGAACCATCTTTGTGGTCAGCCAAGGATCCTTCTTGGAAGGATTTAATGTAATGTTCAATCATGTTTACTTGATTCTCATTGGCAGCATATTTCTTGGCCTCCTCCAAATTGGCATTTACTCGGGCCAGCAATTTGTTGTAGTCACCTCTTGTTACACGGAAATAATTTCCTTTATATTCTTCTAAAGGTAAGGTTATGCCGTCTTTATCATTTGTTGCCACCGATCCCAACTTGACGTCATAAATAGTTTTGCCATCCTCTTCAACTTTGAATGTACGACACATATAGGGTTCCAAACGTTTCGAGGTCAACCATTCGTTTACAGTATCTGAATCCTCTTTGGTACAATTGTCTGACCAATATGTGGTAATACCGTTGGGTGCAAAACCTAAAATTTCATTGCGTGGCTGCAAGGCATAAATCAAGGCAATGACTTTGTTAAACACTTTGGGGACTTTGGTATCATTGGCATAAGCAGCCGAAAGTTTTACAATGCCCTCAAATTTTTCTTCACTTAAATTCGGTATGATCTTACTATCGCCCATACCCTTGTAGTTGCCGGCATTGGCAAAAACACCGCAGGCATATACCAGGAAAGCCTGGAAATAAAATGACAACAATTAGATACTCAGATTCTTGAATTGATAGTGATAGTGAACAACTTTTTTTTGAATTATAAAAATACATTATTTCTAGTAAAAATCGAACATCCCGAAATATGGATCTTCTAGCCCATACAAATTGCATTATATACTGGTATTACATTTACAACTCACCGTAAATTCATCCTCAGTAATGCCATTGTCCAATGCCTTCTTTTTCAAATCTTCCAATGGCTCAGCAACAAAGATGCGATGCAAAAGAGAAAATATAAGAGGACCTTCGGGACTGGACTGTATTAGGGATACAAGGCCGCCATCCCATGATGCCTTGCTAAAATAATGGGCATATAGCTTTTCCTTGTCCGTTAGATTTTCAAAAGCACTTTTACATTCCAAATCAGCGATTGGCTGAGTATTGGGAAGCACAAAATGGGAAGCGTTGGATGAGCTCATTTTGCGGATATTTATATTATGCAATAAACTAAAAAATAAACAAAACAACTTTAAAAATTACAATTAAACTTGTTACCAATTCGAATACCTTAAATTATTTGTATATAATTTTAATAAACTATTTGATGCCAAATTGTGTTGCTGTTTCGTCGCTGTTGTTGTATTGGTCCTAATATAGGCCATATTATAAGCATAAATTTGCAAATTTGTACATTTTTGCAATGTACGAAGAGATTGGGAAATCTGTCTTGGTCTTAATTTTAACATTTTACGTTAAAGAGAGTATTATTCTTAAAATATTGTCTGTAAGGAGATATTATTAATTATTTTGTTAGTTAACTTTTGGAACGTCTTGTACTTACTTTTTGTACTATAAGTGAAGTAATTACAAGATAATAGTTTTCAATTTAAAAGACCGTATGTAACTGAAATAAGGAGAGAGACAGCAGTTAAAATTTTGATAGAAAATTGGCGAAAATCACATAATTTAAGAAAAAATAGAAGCGCTAGCATAATTTTGAAAGGAGCCAAGATGATTTATTCCGTTAGTAGATATGACAATAACTGTACATAATGCGCATTCCCGCACGAAAATACTTTTTAAAGCTTTATAGGTAAAAATGATGAAAATTGCAGAACTAATCAAGTCTTGCGGGAACGGAGCAAATATGCATTAATTAAATAAGTGCAACAAAACCACACACGATTTGATTACTTGGCAGAAATTCAAGAGAATTTTTTATCGTGATATTTCTTTTGCATTTTATTAGAAGTATTATTTATTTTCCAAATCATTGTCATTTGAAATTGGATCTAAGAGAAAATATAGTTGAGTTCATATGCTAATTCATGCTAGACCTAAGAACCAACCATTTATCGTTTAGATTGTACTTGCAAAACCCAAACACTTCCTGCCAGCACATATATTTTCACCAAGTCAAAATAAAAAAAAATAATAATATAATATTTTCACTATATCACCCACAAAGATTATTTCCAAGTTCAAGGACCTTGTAAAATAAAAAACATTTAGATGACTTGTCTTTTCTTTGTCCAACAATAAAGAATCAATCGCCCCAAAAAGGTTATGTCAACAACAGAATTTTGGGAAATGCCCCAAAACGCAGCAACAAAGCCAATTTTTTTGGGTAAATTTATCACATTCACGGTTGTAGAATATTTAGAAAATTTTAAATACACTTAACTACTTACCTTTTATGGGTTTCTAAAATCGGGTCTGTATTTATTATAAAGTGAAATCCACAATGCAAATGACAAACACTACCGGTAAATAAAAAAATAATTGCAAGCAACGACAACCAGGGATGCCGTAGTGTACGAAAAAGGACAATTGGGATGGATGACACATGTTCGGGATACAGCTGTTTCATACAGAGATGGAAAAGCCGATATACAAAATTATAAACTCTGGCGACATGACAAATTTTATCGTGGCATTAGTACCACTGAAGATTAACCCATAGGGCGTATTAGATCTAGTATTATCATAAGCAAATAAGATTTCAAGTTTTTTTTTTTGTTATCGTTCCAAAGCAAAATGTAAAGATCGCGTGTTGACATAAATAAATTTTAAAATTCTTTCAGAACATATACCAATTTTGAATATGTTTGTGTATTGTTTTGAATAAAACAATACAATGCATATTTTCGATATTAATGGACAACACTTTGTACAATTTTGGGATAAAAGTGTGTTGTCCTACTATTTTAAAATCAATCTTGTGGAATAACCCCAAAATTCCAAACCTTTACAGCTTTACTTTAAATTCGATGTAGCGTGTACAAATATTTTATTACCCGACTATAGTAAAATGTTTTATAAAATTAAAATCTGTTATCGCAGTAAAAAGCTTTTTATATTCTTGTAGTTGTGCAACAAATATTTACAAGATTAAGGCCCAAGTAATGGAACTCTCATACAAAAGATGAATTAAAAATTAACAACATGTGTCATCCTCCCGTACTTTTCGTACTTAGAGCTGGCTACCAGCTGATTGCAATTTTTTTCTAAGTGTGCCCGACTTCTGCCAATTTTGTGTATGTATTTATTGTTTTGAAAAATGAAAACAAAATATTTTCAAAACCAATGATTGGAAGACACGGTTATTGCGGCTCGCGCTATAAAGCTATTAACCACTTTAGCCATCAAATTGAAAGATTGAACAGTTCGGATCATTTTCGCGCTTTTAACTCATTTTAAAAATTAGGAAAAATATGAAAATAATTAAAAAAACTTGTGTATAATTTTGAATGAGTCTGACAGGAAGCGGGTATAGCCTCAGATCTATATTTCTGTTGCTTTACTGAGCTTTTTTAGATTAGATTGATTTTCTGGACAAATTTCTACTTTCAATCGCTTGCCGATGATTTATATTGGACAATATATTACTATTCCCGCAGGAAAAGTAACCAGACACACCTACTTGTTTTTAATCAACCAATTTGGCTTGGAAAATTTTTTTTACAGAGGAGGTCATGTCTGCCCTCCTTATTTGGCTGTAAAGGCGTGGGAACATAAACAGCTTGGAGTATAAAGGGAATAATTGGATGTCAGAGCTGCACTCGAATCCTGCTGTCGTTTCCCCTTATAATTTGATATTAATTTGCTTGAAACCAAGCTGCTAATATACCTTCGTCTTAAGTTTTAGTAGGTTTTTATCTTCGGAAGGTGCTGCAAATTAAAATTGTAAAACTAGTACAATATTGCAGGTTTGAGAAAATAATTGTTTGTTTTACTACATAACTTTATTTACTGAGTACAGTAGTTTTTTACAGACAGCAAACATCCTCTGTTGTTGTAGTTCCATTATTAAAAATTAGGCGAAGACAGCATTTATTGAAAACACAACACTATCAGATATATAATTTTTATTACATTTTCGATTACATACTACAATTATTACAAGTCATGGCTAGGCATATTAATGTTAAATTATAATGAAAAACGACGGCCGGGTTTTAGTGCGACTATGTAATCCCTTTATGAAATGTCACAAAATATGCCTAGCCATGACTTCAAGCTTTTATGTACTTGCACCTTTACTTTGAAGCTAATATCACTGAAAATTGGACAGCCATTTTAACCAAATACCATATAAATTGATGTGTTGCTATGTGACTTTATAATCTCGATTGGCTTCTATATCGATTTATGTGATATCGGTATCGAAAACAATTCACCGTATTTGTGTGGTGAGTAGTTATTATTCAACATCAACTACCACCGCCAAACAATTTTTGAAGTTTCAAACGTAATTTTGGAAGACGAGTAAAAATTGGATTATTACCTTAGTTGGGATATTAAAAAATTACATAACATATATTAAATTTTCGCATTTAAATTTTATGCAGCACTATCGTCAATAACAAGAGGAATTTTCAAACACTAAGTCGAATTGTGATCGCGTTTTGTTAATGGTGTGTTTATTGTATGGTAAAATATTTTCGGCTTGGTTGTTTGCGCTTATTCCGATGTAAGAACATTTTAGGAAAAAGTACAGTGTTTGATATTTGACAATACGTAATTTGACGTGCACAATCAGAGATATTCGAAATTCTCATTCCAATTAAATAAAAACTGTATCAGACCTATTGCAAAGAAAGCATGGATAATATTTCCCGTCGATCAAGTTTAATGGATGCCAGCTGCATGACAGCAACATCTGTGTATTTATCTTTTGATTCTGAAAGCACAATTGCCGGACAGACTTGTTATCGCACGTTGGAGGGCGACATTTCTGCCATATCGAACATTTCCAAAGTTGAAGAAGTTTGTGACAATACCGAAGAAAAACACGGTAATAGCACCTTGGAAAATCAGAATTCATCGGTGGAAGCAAGTCCTCTTAAAACTGTAAAGAAAATGGACGTAATAACAACGAACTCTCCTTTGAGAGTTCTGCCAAAAAATATTATGAGAGAGTATAAAGCATTGTGTTCGACACCATCTAAGGAGCAGTTGTTGAAGACTGTTGATGTTACCCGTGGGTCGGAAGCAAACCGATATGATGATTTGGGTGTTGCATTTTTAGGGGTTGATGATGGATTGCCAGCATTTTTTCCTCCACCGCCACCATCAACTCAATCTGTGCAGCAACGTCATCATAATCAACGTTGCGAAGATAATAAGGAGAATATATCAGATGGATCTACACTATCTGTTTCATCGTCTGTAGAAATAGCCACATCTGTTATAGAAAGAAAATGCTTAAATTCGGTGTCATCAGTGGGGCTAATGGTAATGGAGGAATGTGCTACGGCTGAACAAAATGTTACCGAAGTCGTTATAGAATCCGTACATGGCTGTAACGAAATACAAGATGCCCAAGTAAAAGATCAAATTATCAGAGTTCAAAATGTGGAAATTACAAACGTTGATTACAATGAAATGGGAAACAACGTCCCATCTGAAATGGAGTTTAAAACTGGTGAGTTAATATTCAAACTTCATTCTACAGACAGTTGGTAGTTCGTAGGAAAAAGTGATTTCATTTAATAATACCAAAATTGGGCAATAGATTAATATTTTTACTATATTTTTCCTCAGATTCCAATATGGAAGCAGGCGAAAACAATGTACAAACAGACAACGTAATTGACGATCTTGAAAATAAAAATAATATTTCCAATGAAGTGGTAAATGAGATTCTTTTTGTCATTGAAGAGGAATTCTCACAAACAACGCCGGAAATACACAACGAAGTATCTGGCAGCAGTGAAGCAAACGATGACCCTATGAAAAATACAAAAAATCCCGACACAAGTGAATGTGAAATTGTAGCCATATCGAAGGATAAAACTTCCTCCTGTGAGGAGCCTATGTTGGAGTTAGGTACTGTTATTAAGCACCAAGAATTCACTAAAAACAATGGTAAGTAATAAAAATAAAGGGATTAATAAAATAAACTTAAATTGTCGTTACCTCAAATTACAGAAGTACAAGTTCCTACAACTATAACGGAACAGCCAAATTTATCCCAAAAGGTCAACGAAAAGCCAAAAATTCCTGTTTTAAAGTCGTTTGGTCGTCGTTCTGTTTGTGAACCTAATTTGCAGACCAATAAGCCTTCGCGAATTCTCAACTCCAAAGGATCTAAAAGACAATCAATTCTGCCTACATTGACAAGAAAGCAAACAACGACAACAGATGTTGAGACGGAAATTCCCATGCTTATGAATAAAATGTTAAAAATTTCGAACAGCTCTACAAAAGAGGAAACAAAATGTGACAAAACTGATCATGGTACTACAGCCGAAACTAAAAGAATATTAAAACCAACAACCAAACAATTGGACAAAAGACGTTCTGTCATGTCAACGGGTACCACGAAAGGAAGATCTTCATTGCTACCTTCGGCATTGGGAGAGAAACGACCTTTTAGTTTCACTCAACGCATGTCAGTGATAGTGAAGACTACATTAAATAGCCCAGCACGTAAAATGGCAAGAAAAAGTACAATGGCCACCTCGAGTACACATTTGCAACAACAACATCAAAGAAGAAGTATGATAGCATCCCGAAAATCAGATGCTAAAGTAGAAGCCAGTGTTCGTAGAAGCATGTTACCGAGCAGTAAAATTGGCACAACGAACAACACGAAAGCACGGGCAGGACTTTTAGCTCCGGTTAAGGAAATTGCAACACAAAAGAAAACAGCAGATGTTGGAAAGGCCCCGGTACCAGGCATGTTAAAAATTCAAGAGAGCACAGTCTTGTCCTGCCCCTCTTGCAAGGAGAAATTTCGAATTAAGTCCTTATTAGATGCCCACAGACGTTCCCACGAGGGCGATGTGACACCCGTACAGAAAAAACCAATAACATCACAACAAACTATTAAACCGGCACCACAGCCGCACTCAATCCTTGACACTTCTAATAAGTGTAAATATTGTGATAAACAATTTGCTCTGGTACGTGCTTTACACCAGCATCTTATGTTGCATTGTTCAAAAATTCCTCCGGGCGAGAAGAAGAAATTACACTATACAGAACTGGACCATGTTGAGAAGGCACGTCTGCCCAATGTTTTTCATCGCGGTAACGGAAGTAGCCATAGCAGTGCAAATTCCGTCCAAGCCACACCCCATTTGCCAGGTAAAATGAATGCACCATCGTTAGCGACCAATACAGCGCAAAAATCTTCCTATGTTGCAAAGAAGCCGGTAGACTCTTCTGGAGAAAAAGGTATATTTACATTTTTTACTGTGATGAAAGGATTAATTTAAATCATTTTTACTATCAACAGATTTGAAAAGCAAACCAGTTGAATCAACACCGTCAAATTCTACTGGAGCTCACTCAAACACAATATCGTTGAATAACACCACCAGTTCATCTTGTGTTGGTTCGATACAAAAACCTAAAAAATCTTCTGCACATTCAGGAGTGTATCGCACTCCCAGCAAAAGTGTACCATGTCATATCTGCAAATTAACATTTAAAAGCATTTTAGATTACACAAATCACAGCCTATCAACACATGGACAAAAAAATCAAAACAATGACGACTTTTCGGCTGAAGATGAACTTCAAATGACATGAATGACTAACATGTTATGCAAGCTCGATTTTGATATTCTTTAATTAAACGCATTCTTTCGAATATGCCTAGAATACATGGGCGCGATCAGCATTTATATTCTTACAATTCATTACTGCAAGCAGTAAATGATTTAAGAGAAGGACACATGATTTCCTTATAATAAATGGATTTCCTTTAATTTTATAATTTTAATACGCTTAAATAAAATATCTTTCTAATATTTAAATATAATTACAAAATAGTTTTATCTCTCTACTTTTATTTGTGTTGGCCTTATATTTTTGGTTTTTTCTCTGGAGGTGGTTTCATATCGACATTTTCTTGTTTAATATCTATGGCTTGCTGATTACCACCTGTTGGACTTGTATCTGAGGGATTATTTCCACTGTTACCTTCTTGGCTGTTAAGTTTCGAGTCTTGAAGCTGTTGTTGTTGATGTATTATTGGAGGTATTGGTGGAGGGAATTTACGCAATAATTCGACTAACAACATGTCAACTCTTTGCATTTGAAAAACAGTACCACTATCATCTTTGGCTGTGGTCTCTTTCTTTGCTGCAGCTTTATGTTTATCAGCAACTGAATAGTAAAACAAAATTGCATGTGTTATAAATATTAAAATTGTTGCGTAAAGAAAAACTTACGCTGCTTGTTGGAACTGAAATCCCAGGTATATCCTTTATTCGGATGATAGCGTGAGTAACTACTGGCCTCCTCAAATGCTGACTGCAGATTTGTAACTGTTGAAAGCTAAATACCAAATTGTTATAAAATCATCCTAAATTTTTGGTTTAACTTATTTTAACTTACAATACGTGAGCTTATAACATTCCCTAAATCAGGTGCTTTGTAAACAGTGCCACCAATAATATAATAATCAGCCATTGGTGTTGCTTCCCGCGGATTGTGTCTGTGTTGTTTACGAATCACATATAAGATGGGCTCGTGGACGTGAAGTAAAATGTACTCCACACCAACCATATTGCTGGAATAGAAACATAAGTTGTACGTAATATTTTTAATTATCAAATAAAGTTTCAAAAACTTACTTCAAGTTGTCCAAACTTAAACGTTGCATACGAATTATTTCATTATTGCTCAAATGATCATAAAATGGATTTGATTTGCGGCAAAAGTAATCCATGACATTTGTTGGGTCCAATGAGGCCATAATTTGTGTATCATGCCAAGAGACCCACAGGGGATTCTCCTGGGATATAGGTGGAGGTATTTGTCTGCCTGGCAACATTTTGCCAATAATGATGAGATCTAAAATCAAATGAGAAAAACATGCATTTATTATAGATTAAACTGACAGATGAATCGCGTTCTATTGTTATAGCAGCTCGATTATTTATTGTTACGAAGTCAGGCTTAGACCCGCGCCTGCTATTGGATGTTACACTTGTTCAAGTTTTGTTAGATATTCTGTTTTTTTTTGTCATATTCTATCGTCCGGAATGCCCCCACTATTGTTGAAGAAAGCAAGATCTGTTAGATCTTCTATTTTGGCACCCGGCATCTAAGTTTATTTTATGCTTTGTTGTGTTTCCGACTGTTGTTAAACAAATCTATAAACGTCATTATTGTTGGTCTTTTCTGACTTCCTATTCGCATATAATTGGAGGTCAGTGCTATTGCAGACAGAAGGGGAATGCACGTTGTTTACTTTATTTTAATAGACACTTGCATTATTTTTAGTTTCATTTTTGATTTGATTTATCTTAGTTAATTTATTTCTGTGCAAAGGTTGTGTAATATATTTTTTTATTTAGTTTTCCTCCGAAATCGATGTGTTTGAGTCGCGTCCGGTCTTGCTACTAAAATTTACGGAATCAACAGGTAATCTGTGTCTTTATTCGAATTTCACTTTTACTGTGGTCATGTTGACGTTATAGTTTATTGTACTCTGTACCTTATTTGTTTATCAATTCGTAGGAGATGAATAAAAACTAAATAATTTAATAGTGCATGAATGCAAACGGCAAAATTAACACTAAAAATGAATAGGGCTATAAAAGTCGATTTTTTTCGATAAAACCATACCATTGCAAAATATGTATCGATTTTTTCTATTGCAGAAGCAACAATGTACATGACGCCGTTTTTATTTTTTTAACCGGACAACAATGAAAATATACCACCACTTTACTATTTTTTTATGTTTTGCAATTTGCAATTATAAATGTTAAATAAACGAATTTTTTGGGTTCTTTTCACCTTTTTTCTTAATTGACGTGTATAATACAAGCGGCATTCAATTGGACTGCCGGTGGCATGACGACGTCATATTATACTACGAGTGGCGCCGTTTTTGACTTCTATCATCTCCAACCAAACAAAAAAAAAACAAACAAATAATAACAACAACAAACAAGACGAGGAAGAGAATAAAAAATAAATTTTGTTTTGTGTGTTGTGTTTTCCTTTGTTATTTTTCAATTTTCTACATTTTCTTGGGAAAATATAAAAATTGGTGGATTTTTTAGTCTCAGTTCGTTCTGTGCTTTGCATCGTGGCGGCATTTCTCAGGAAGAAAAACAACGTAGAACCGAAATTATGGTAATAATTAAAATCATTTTATATGGTTTGTGAATGTGGAAATAATCGATAATAATTGGGGCCGTAACATTTCATAATTGGAAAATAAGCTGTGTTATTTTTTAATGTGAATAATTATCCGTGTGAGATATTTAATAAAGACCCCTGAAGCAATTTCTGTGTGATTCATGTCAGTGTAAATTACAAATTTTAGGATTCGAATGTAAACCCTTGCCCAAAAAAAAAAAATTGTCTGTGCTTTGTCTGTTCACGTTAAAAACATGGCAAATCCCCACTTTGTAATATCCATTGTTTGTCGTGTTGAGCTTACATCTTATGCAATATGTATTAGCCATTGCGATTTCCAGTATATTGCCAGTCATTTCTACATGACTGAATCAAACATTCCATAAATAGCAAGCCATTGGCAAAAGATATGCCCGTCCTCGCATCCGCACACAATACAATTTAGCATCTATTAACCTTGATTTATCTCCATGTTGTTAGACTGCTAGTCAGTCGCCTCGAAATTGACATGAGTTGACTTTATGCGTGCCAATGTTTTGTTTTCACTTCATCGTGTGCGAATAACACATTTGGACTCATGGAAAAAAATCTTGTGCAAATCTATGAAAGCAACCAAGAAAACAAGTGGTTGTTAGCAGTCGATTGGGTGTTGTTTATATTGGTTTCTATTAATACGCACATGAAAAATGTTATCTAAACAAATGCCGATAGAGACCGATGGACATATTTGTATCTTTAAAGAATTTATTTGTAGCACTGTGTGCGTACAAGTAATTTATTGCACCAGTAAAATTCAAAATTGTTTGCTTATATGTTAACTTCAGGCTTATGGATACAAAAAGAAGTGGGAATATATATTCGATAGATTTATTAGATTAAGTTCGAAGATGACCAATACGGTCCACTCCAAAACATCAATTCTATCGTAGATAGTGATTTTGACTTAATATTTACAATAAATTAAGCGCGAAAATGGTCAATATACAATTCCTTGTATTATTCCACAAATGTCAATATTTTAAATAATCATATAAACACATAAAATTTGAAATAATTTTCTGATTTTCTGCAAACTTTGCAATCTTAATATTCCTGCCAACTTAGATTAGTTTTCTCGTACCGATAGCATCACCACAAAATGTGGCATATATAAGCTATATATTATATATTTTAATTTTATAATGCTTCAGTCAGTTGAGAAAATTTACAAAAGGTTGACATTTAATAATAATACTATTAATTTAGTATTAAGAATGAATTGAGTAAAGAAAAAAAAAAAGAAATAAGAATAACAACATATATAAGACTGTGAAATAAGTGAACGGATTTCTTTAACTATCCCTACATAATCCCCTTAGGCAGTATGACCGTTTGCTGTATGGACTATTTACAAAAATAATTAATTATTATATTAATTATTAATTAATTTTTTTGCACACCCAATTTGAGCATAAGTGGATTATGTCCGCAACTTTCTGGGGATTGTGACCGAGCCCCATAATCGAATGGGGATAATGACCAAGAAGAAGCGCACCTGTTGGGATTGACACAGCACAGCGGTTGAAATGGACCATACCTATAAGAAAACAAAATTACCCTCCGCTTTAAAAAGCACGATTAGGCTACTAAACCCTTTCGAATTCAAATTTCAGTTTCATAGCGTATACGTCAGCGTATAAAACATTTTCATAAATCCCGTGGTTTTATTTATCGTATACGTTATGGTATTAACATTTGAGATCGAGTGGATTCCGTAAAACTAAACGTACTTTTATTGAAAAAATATAACAGTTTTCCCTTTTATGTCGATATATTGATCAGTGGTATATAGCAACATTCTACCGCATCATTATGTTGTGAATATAGAAGAATTGTGTAGTTGTTAAGCATCTTGACGAATCCCAATGATTTGAAATTATTGAAAAATGTTCATTATTATGTTATTTGTTATTTATTTTAGGGATTCCAATGTAACTCGTGTTACAATATTATACAACTTTTTCTTTATAAACGCGTTTGCCCTGATTTTCATTTATTTTCGAGATGTTTCTTAAATTCATTATACATGTGAATTATAATGGTGTCGTACATATTGCTAGTTAAAACATGTGGTGTTTTTCTTTTCTCCATTTATGTCTTAAAAAGTGGATAAATGTACCATATTCCAAAGCAAAGCATTATTACCAAAAAATAAATAAAATTCTTTTAATTTTTTAGAGCACCTTAAGAAATTGTATTACTACATTAAACATTGTCTTCAGTATTTGTAGTGGCTTTAGTTGGTATGCGCTATATAAAACCGGAACCATATTATGAGGTATATCTTCGAAATTTCATTTAAAAAATGTAGTAGGTAGTTTCAAAATTGAAATAGCATCATAGTAGTAAAAATTAAAAAAATTATTTCCAGTCCATATAAATTTATTTAACAAATATTCTTTTGGTATATATATCTTAAGGGTCTCCCACCGTTTAATGAATCCGGCAGTCCTTTCAATGTGGTGCCAATACATCAATATCCCGAGCTAATGAAGGATACCTGCGCCCTCATCAATTCCGAATGGCCACGAAGTGAAACAGCGCGCATGCGTTCCTTGGAAGCATCATGTGATACATTGCCCTGCAGTTTGGTTTTAACCACAGAAGGTCTCAGCCGAGTAATTGCCCACTGCAAGCTTAGTCCAATACCATCGAAAAGTAAATCCTGCTTTATTGAATCGGTCGTAGTGGACAAGAGTTGCCGCGGCCAAGGTTTTGGTAAATTAATAATGAAATTTGCCGAAGATTATTGTCGTGTTGTATTAGATTTAAAAGTATTATATTTGTCAACAATTGATCAAGAAGGTTTCTACCAAAGAATAGGCTATGAATACTGTGCTCCAATCTCAATGTATGGTCCCCGACATTGTGAATTGCCCAGTCTGCAGACAGCCAAAAAGAAATACATGAAGAAAGTTTTATAGGCAACAATCGAAACAGGAATACATACAAATCGAAAGGTAAATAACCCAACAACGAATACGGTTGCAGTAAGTGTTTAAATTTCTATGAAATACAGAATAGACAAAGGAATCACCTCAAAAAGGCAAGGAAAACAAAAGATTACTACAACGCATAGATAAAGGGAAACATTAGAGCTATTATTTAATAACAAAAAGTACAGAGTCCAAAGCAAAAAACGAACTTAAGGATAAAAAAAGAAAACAACACAGCAACAACAATGATAATAAAAATAGTTATTTTAGTGTAAACACAACAATCATAACTACTGCTTTATTACAATAAACGCAATTGCCATTTTCTATTTAAGTTTTTATTCACATTTCCATTTCTTATAAAGAATCACATTATTACTTTGTATATTTTGTCTTTATTACTGTTTATTGTTTGATTATGAACTTTTCAAGTGTATTTCTCTTGGAGTATTTCATTTGCAATGATTTTAGTTTTGAAGTTTAAAATGTTACCAAATAGTTTTTAAACTTAAATAACCAAAATCATGGTAATTTCGGCTTTATGCAGATTTTCTTCTTGTAACAATTATAATTAAGAAATTGTGTATAAAAATAAGTTTAAATACCTTCGAATATATGAAACATATGTAAAAAGGAAAATACAATTAAATATAATATATGTAATATTTAAAAATACGTATTGTTTGCAAAAGTTCTATATGTATGATATTTATTTACATTTAAGTCCATAGCTGGTTTACTGTGATTATTTTTAAGCAGTAAATAAAAACTGCAACATGTTTGCTCAGATAATTTGATTGATTCTGATTTTTAAAACCATCATAGATTCAAAACAAAATAATTGAGGATCAAATCAAATTGAATAATAATAATTAAAAAATGAATGATTCCAAATATTAAAAGAATAAAACAAAGATACGTATAAAATGACAAAATCAGTTACTAATTTAAACGAAATTATTTTACAAAAATCAAGAGTAGTGTTTAGAACATTCTTGATTAAACCGAATTTAAGTTTTCAAAATTGAGAGAAACCTAATTGAATTGGAAGAACTTGAATTCGATTCAACGCCTACAAGCTCGGTAAATAAAGGCGTAAATTGTGCGAAAATTAAATTGGATTTTTTCGGAAAGAGACAAGGAAAAAGTGAGATTTATCTCTCACAACTCCCTTTTTTCCTATAGAACTCTGTTTTCTTTTCCATAAACTTTCCCCGTAAGTGTACGGCAAAAGAAACATACACAATATATATTTAAAATAAATTGGATTGATGTATTTACTTACGAAGCGATGAAAATTATGTATATTTTTGTACAGGCTTTTGTAAAGTTAATGGAAGAAATGATGTGATATTTTAAAAGAAGTAACGGTTGGAATAACAGATCTTTTAAATAAATAAATAAATTCCAGCAAAGGAAAGTAAACAATCATCTGTTTTGGTCAATTTGTGATTGGAGATATGAGTAAGAGTTTCGTCATTTTAAAAGAAGGTTGAGAAATGAACATTGCTGAGCAAATAATGACTAAAATTTAAAGTTGAAATTATATTTTTTTATTAAATACATGTGCTTGTGATGCATATCTGAATATACATAATGAAATTCAATTAATAAGAACATTATAGCTCTTCCAGTAGTTCTGTAGCAAACTGTTGGTCTTAAGTAATAACAGTTTTGCTGTGTAAACAATTATTATAAATAATATAGTCATATGCTGCATATCTAGTCTAAACTTCCGCATTACCTAAATAAGCAACAATATATTTTGTAAAAATAGTTTATACCTATATCTAGAAAAGCTTTCCTCTTCTAGGCACACACATATTTATATATGCATGTATGTAGATATTTAAAAACATAAATAAATGATGAACATATATTTTCAAAATGATGAAAACACTTCCTCTTTTAAGTACATCGTCAAATTTTAAAATGGCAAATGCAGAGAGAAATTAGTCAAAAGCATTTGAAATGATTTTGATTAGCATCCCATTAACAAATTGTCTACAAAACATGCTATGGCTTGGGTTGATAATGCCAACTTTTTCAAAACATTTGAAATATTTAGAATTCTAACACTCTTGGATGCCCACACTGTACATGTCGTTGGCTTTTTTACACAGTTTTTATTGCCAAGTTCAAGTTCATGATATTTAAAAAGGCACATCCATCTGTCTACGAAGAAACTGTATGTATATACGTATGTATGTGGATCCTCAGTGTTATATTGTAAATACAAAAATTTTACACAAAAAAAGGAAGAAAGACCGAAACGCCCATCTCGTGCTTTTTTTCATCATAGACATAAACAAACAACAAAACACACAAGATTGTGTTTGAAATGACGGCAAATGAAAGTAAAATAAAAAATAAATATATAAAGAAAATTAAAAATAGATATTATTTTTCATTTTATTTGTATAGTTGTTGCTACGTAAAAATTATAGATAGAATTCGATTCGTTTGTTAAAATTAAATAACAATCTACCTTTGGCGTAGCAAGAAAATATATTTATTGTACCTGTGGGTTGACTGCGCAGCAAGGGGAGACTTGAGTGATTTGGGTAATGCCTTTATACGCCAATGTGTTTTAGGCAATGTTCCATATGGGAAAGATTAATGAAAGTGCCTGCCATGTCAAGAATCTTATCACTTTTCTAAATTCCTTAAATAGCAATTACAAATCCTGGTTGATGGGCCAACAAATTACTGATTACCATAGTTTGGCAAAGATAAGTCGAGTCGTAGAATAAATTAAGATAAGATAAACAAGTGAAATGATTTGACCAAACTATACACTACATCGTGTAATTATTGAAGTGGGTAATAAATCTTAATATATATATAAACAATTTATATTTAAGTAAACCTTCCGATCATCAAAGAGAAATAAACACATAAAATCATAAACATATGATCTTCGTATTAACAAAGCTGAAACTCAAAAATTAAATAGTTTAGTTAAATTATTTTGATAAGTAGTAGTCTTAAGTAGTAGTCTTAGCCAAATTTGAACGAAAATTAGTAAAACGCACCTCAGAACATTTATCTGTCCTGTCCAAAAATAATTTAAATGTAATTTGAAGCATAGTTTTAGGCCCATATAATTTAAGATAAATTTATGATGTAGCCACCACGATTTTTTTTAATTTTATGTTGTGACTAAAAGTAGACTTTAAATTGATGCATAAATATTGTATACTTTTATACCCTCCACCATACTATGGAGGGTATATTAACTTTGTCATTCCGTTTGTAACTCCTCGAATTACTCATGTCTGTTGTAATAACGCTATCTTTCGAACGAATTGAGATAGAAGGCTAACAGAAAATTGCCTATGCAGGTCCAGGTATAGCTCCGATATAACGGTACCTTCCTATATACGGTATTATGATATTCATCGTTTATTTCAAGTTTCGAATTTGAATATAGTTATGGCTTATGATAACCAATGCCTATGTAAGTCCACGTCGTATAGACCCCACTATAACGGCTATTTTAACAGAATTTTTAACGGATTTTATACTTTGAAAATTTCCAAATTCGTTCCAAATGTACTGCTTTTTAACTTGCTATATATCTTCGTTTATTTGTTTGCAACATGAGGAACGAACAATTTGGAACAAAATGACTTGAAAAATTTCATAGAATCACATCCTGGGTCCATATGTTCATACCTGTCAGTACATCATGTATATGTATACAAACAATATATATTTTTCATTTATATTCAGTGAAATGAAAGCAAAATAAGAATTGGTTTTATTCAGAAGAATTCAGTGAAAATGCAATTACACCATTCTCAGTCACTTTGATGTCACGATTTTATCTGTATAATTTTTATTATTTATTCGATATTCAATACAATAAATTTCATATTTCCATGAAAAATATAGATACTTAACAATAAAGCTGCATATATAGCCAAAAAAAATCATTATACCCTAGCACATTTGTCCAATTAAGAATTTCCATTGCGGAACTATAATAAATACTACGTTGGAATACTAAATTAAATGCAGTAATAAAAATGCCAAACGACCACATGTTGTATAGATTGTTTTTTGAATAGAAAGGCACATTAGAAATGTTATGGTGTGTGTGTGTGTATGTGTATGGTATTACTGTCACGTTACCCAAATAGTTTAGATTTCAAATGCGAAATAATTTACATAGGTGAGACTAGGGCATTTAATTGCAATACACAAAAATGTCTGTAATAGTTACAGGCGAGGAATAGAATCTTCTTTATAACCACCATTTTAAATCGATTTAAATTTCTGATATTTCAATCGAGCTTTTTGGCTATGCCGCATACTTGCTGATAGTGTTCTGGTTGTTCCAAAGAATCGACTATAAACTTGGCCAAATCAAATTTGGAAACTAGACGTCCGGGAGCCTCGTCATGCAAGACAGTGTATTCGCTTGACGGTTCGTCAGCAATATGAGGTGGTAAAACTGCAATATAATCCAAATCTGAGGATTTTGTTAGCTCCAACATACGTTTGTGCTCGTCGTTTAAACGGTGAAACATTGCCGGCACTTCAGCAACTGGCCGGAATAAAAATGAGGACATAACGATCGAAAAACGTTTGACATTCTTCGACTTCATGGCTTTTATAAGATTTGCTGTTCCCGTTGACATTTCGGTGGTAGCCTCTAACTTATTACGGGTCCCCAAAATGATGCAAACACCATCTACACCATCAACGACTTTTTCGCAATCATCAAAATTTAGAACATTGCCCTGTACCAGTTTTATTTTGTCCGATTTTTTGAAGCGATCGGGCACAGTATTTTCAGTTCTGTAAAGAACTCGTACTTGATGACCTAAATTGGAAAATCAGTTAATATCCAATTTTTTACATTACTGTTATGACTTGCCTTTTTCAACTGCATAATCAACAACACATTGGCCGGTCATTCCGGTACCACCTATTATTGCAAGTTGCATAATGTTAGTATGTGTGCGTGTGAATTTGTTGAACACTATGTTAAAACTCCTTTATTTGTCAATCACTTGCAGTTTCGAGTGCAAAAGTTCTTGATACTTATCTGAAAGCAAACAATAAATTAACTGTCAAATACAAACAATTTTTATGCGTGGCTATTAATGTGGAAATGGCGGAAAAGAACAATGTAAACAAAAGCTTTATTATTTATTAAACTTATTAGGCAAACAAAAAAAAAAATACCGAAAACCGGCCAGCACTTGTCTTCACCAACTCAGGGGAATGAATGAATTGAGACTGAGAATTTTTAATGAAATACAAGTAAAAGAGGGTTGCCAAGTTTAACATAAATTCTTTTATTTTTATAGGCAGTTGGCCACATATTAAATTTAATGAAAATTACCGAAAAAGTCGGTAAAATGAATATGCTTATAATTTCGGTAATTAACGAAATTTGTCGGTAAGTTAGCGATGAAATCAAAGTAGTCGCTAAGATATACCGATTGAAACCAATGTTGTCATCTTTAACTTATTTTGTATAGCAAACTTTTAGGTTTCAAAGCTACCGATTTTTATCGATAACTCAAAAAATTAGAGAATCCCACTACTGATAACCCATTTTCCTTTTATGATAGCGAAAAAACTTCAAAACTAGTAGATTCTTGCAGGTTATACAACAGAAAAATGTTGTCGAGAGCAATGCCCGACCGCATTTGTATCAAACTTTATTTTGTTCGCGATTTACGAAATTTTAAAATATATAGGCTAATCGTACAATTAAGTTGGAACTAAGTTGGACATTTTTTTCAGAATTACTATCAAAACGATTACAAGTTTTTTATTATCAAATAAACAAAAAAAAACTTGTTGCATTGATATTGAATATATAAACAAAAAATGCGAAAATTGAATAAAAGGTCTATAATACTTTTAATATTATGTTCTATATTTCTCTAAAGTTTTATGTCGCTGCAAAAAGTGTAATTTTTCCTATACATACGTTGTGATACTCATTTTGATTGCAACTGAATTCGATTCGATTTTTCAAAAATTTCCATACGATTGAAAAGAACACATACCTGTACAAATTAATTTGACATGTTAAGCCAGGCAAATAAAAAAATAAAATTAATTAGATTCAGTGCCCTACCTTGATTTCATTTAGATCCTTTAAAAATAACAACAGCTAACAATAATTTTAATTTCGAAGACGTAAGTAAAAAAAATGAAGTTGATTAGGGCGTTGATCTGTTTTGGCGCATTGAAATGTTTTTAGGAGTCAAATGTTATCAATAAAACAAGAACCTCATGGATGTGTATAGTTTCAATATATATTTCTTACAAATAATGAGCATAATCCTTCACTTTTTCGTGTTATCTTAAATTTGCCCATATTTTTCGAACTCTGTAACAGCTTTAAGTTTTATGGGAAAGAAAGTAGTTATCTGTCACTCTCTCTTTTTCACTATGCAAGAGTAAATGTCACATTTTCTTTCCTCCTAAAACTCCAACTTACCCATGTGATTTGGGCCTTGTAAACAAAATATAATGTGACAATTGACACATGCCAAAATTAAAGTTTCCACAACTATAACGGAACAGTTGGCTTTGATGCCGTTGTCAAATTTAAATGTTTCTATTTGCATTTTCCGAGAAGGAAAAACCATTCAATTCAAAAAGCAACCATCGTCAATTGTCGACGCATCTCATCCATCATGGACGCCAATGATGAAGCATTTCCTGGATCCGAGTGCGCCTGGCTATCGGAGCAGTTTTTTGCTAATCAATTCAAACTATTTAATTCTGATTATAATGAAAGAACGTCCAATAACGAAATGAACATAAATGACATGTTTCCCAACTGTGAGATTAATCCATTTTTGAGTTCAGACCTAGGCATTGATGTTAATCAGGCCTGTGATATACCCACCACGAGAATGGATACAAGCATTGATTTCATTTCGAAAATTAATGATTCAGGGCAATCGTTTGACGTGAAATCGGAAATTGTTGATTTGAGTTATCCGAAAGGGGACGGAGAAATGTTTACTCAAAACTCGACAGCTAAAAATGTAGATGAAATACTATTGGAGGAATGCTCTCAAGAGGCTTTGGATTTGTCGAAGGCATCACAAGGTAAGAAAAATTCATCATTGTCCGTGTAGGAAAATTATGTATATTTTTTCTGAGTTTTTCAATTTGTTTTCCATAAGTACGTGTTTTTCCAAATTTCGCCTGAAAGCAAACAAGTGGCCATATGATAGGGATATTTTCATTGACTTTCAGATGAATTCTTTCTTGGAATCAGTAAAAATACTCTGGCAAAACATTCAAAAATTTCGTTTTGTTCAGTTTTTAATATATATTTTATATTTCTTTCTATCTTACAGTTGGCTCCATATATTTGTATCAACCTTTACCATCCTCATCGACAGGCGGTTATGTCAAGTGCATGCAATGCCACGTTTTGTTTGATGAAATCGGATTCCAAACGCATGTTTGCGACGACTTTGTTAGCAACAATCAAATGCAACCTTCTCTTGACACACCATCGAATCTTTCGTCATCTGCGCAAAACCCATCTATGGTGTCTCCCATTGTACAGGACGAAAATTATGCAGCTGTAAACAAAATTGATCAACCAACTTCGTTTACTGCACCTTCCAATATTACGAAAAACCTTGTTAGAAAAGAACCAATATTACCTACAAATCCGGCTTCTATACGACTAATAAATGAAAATCAAATTCGTTTAAGACGATTTCTTAAACATGAGCTGAAATATGATGTTGCGACAAACTCTTCATTTAAAAACGTTAGTTCCAAAAACAGCAATAACAATAGTAACACCGATATTAGTGATACAGTAAATACATCGTCATCATCAACCATTTCGGGTTCAAGCGACGCCAAGAAATCGGATGGACCCCATGAGTGTACGCTGTGCGAGAGATCATTTGTACATTCTTCGGGTCTCTTGCGCCATATGGAAAAACATGCAATGGATTTGATACCAACCAGTTCAACTAAATATTCTGGCAAATCGTTTGCATCGCAGGCTGTTGCTACAACAGCAAGTACCAGCAGTCTTAGATTGGTAATAAAATGTACCCTTTGTGGCAGAATATTTTTTGAACATAGCAGCGCATGTGAACATTTGTTTGCACATTTTCCCAGTACATGGATGGATGAAAAAGAATTGGATACTTGTTCAGATATATCCATTGAAATGTACATCGATGATGCCTTAGAGTTTTTAATTAATGAGGTGAGTATAGTTACTGATATAAATGAACGTATTATAACAATTTATATATTATATATCTCCTATTAAGCAAGAAGATCAAATCAAACTGATTTGAATTAAAATATTAGATTCTCAATGGGCACAAATTCATTTATTATTTTTTTTAATATTTTTTGCCCGTCTACAGTTTTTGAAATGAAAGTTATCAAACTGTAATCAAACTTTTTTTACAGGCCAAAAACGATAGCATGAACTCAAACATACAGAAAGATACTACAGCGGATGACAAAACTCCGAAGTTGTTGAAAATGGTTATTTTAACATGCATTCTTCAGTGTGAATTCTGTGACTTTGTGTTTTCGGATGTTTCCTATTTGTTTGTGCACACAGTTTGTCACATACCCGAAAGGCGATTCGAATGTTTCTCGTGTGATATATGCGTAAAAACTTCTAAAGAAATTACAAATCATTGGCAAACGGAATGTGTCTTTATGAGAGAAAATACAAAATTACATGAAGTAACTGTGCAGCGATATTTTGTTTGTAATGTCTGCGAAAATAAATTCCCGTCACTGGATCTATTGCATGAACATCGGTAGATACATTTTGGTAGTCCTATGTTTGCAGTAAATACTGTTTTGTTGTTTTCTTTTTCAGTTACACACTTTATCATTTCTTTCCGCGCATGAACAACCGTTTGGGCATTTTACAATTACCCTGCGAATATTGTGACCATGTTTCGGAAAATGTGCAAGATTGTTTGGCCCACTACGAGGACAATCACTATAAAAAGTATAGGAAAGATAAAGAAGGTTCTGTCAATCCAAATAGGAATCGTTTATACTTATGTGACATTTGCGGAAAATCCTACACTCAGTCTAGTCATTTGGGTCAGCATCTGAGATTCCATCAAGGTAATGTGTAATTTAAATAGAATGAATGAAATACATTTTTTAATAATTGCTTTACCTAGGAGTAAAACCATTTGCATGTAAAGAGCCAGGTTGTAGTCGAAAATTTACAATACGACCGGATTTGAATGATCACATACGCAAGTGTCATACGGGTGAACGTCCATATCACTGTCAGGTGTGTGGAAAACGTTTCTTGACTGGTTCGGTTTTCTATCAGCATCGTCTCATACACCGTGGTGAACGTCGTTATGAATGTGAAGATTGTGGCAAGCGATTCTATCGAGCAGATGCTCTCAAAAACCACCAACGTATACATACGGGTGAAAAGCCTTTTGGTTGCCTCTTTTGTACCAAAAACTTTCGACAACGTGGTGATCGTGACAAACATATGAGAGCTAGACATTCACATTTGGATGCCAATGCCCGACTAATGATGCAAATGCAGAAATTACAATTAGAGGCAGCAGCGGCAAAAGCACAGACTAATGGAGGTAACAAATCGGATCAATTACTTGGTTCTGACCGAGTTTCAGAAAAGAAATGTTTTAGTCTAACTGATAATTATTTAACTGGTGATATTGCATCGGAAATATCCCACAGCAATTCAGAAGTTTCGTATCCATCAACCAGTAACAATGTTAGGAACCACGAAATGGATGATATTGTAATGATTGGTAATGTTCCATTTCCAAAATCTATGATTGAGTCCTTAATATTTGATATTGATGGGGATGATGTACTAACAACTACAACAAAATAATTTTTATAATTATAATATTTCCTTAAACCTTCTTGTATTGATTTTTTATTTACCTGTGTGTTGAATTAGTTTTATTGCCATTAGCATCATAATTTTTTGAATTTTGTTATTTTTAAAAATAAATACTTGTTTACATGAAAATGGAGTTAGCCATTTATGTCTTGCACTGGAATCTATGCACTAGAACAAAAGGTTTATCTTTAGATTAAATATGAATCAAATATTTTCATTCGTCGAGGGGTACCAGAACGATAAATAAAACAAAACAATAAAATTTTGTAAAATTAAAGGATATATATTAAAATTTTAATAAATTAACAAAAAACATATATTTTAAACACTATATCTTTATCGTAGTACGATACATGTATGTTAAAGAGCATCATGGCTCCATACAAAAATATATTTGCATTTTACAATTATATTGAAATATTGCCTATACAATCAAGTTTTACATTTTGCTTTTATGTTTATGAGGTACGAAAACACCAACTTGTGTGACCTCAACCATTATGTGACCAAACATAACATACGGTCTGCTTGACGCGTTGTTCCTGAAGTATGCCAATATGTCGGAGCATTGTTAAACGATTTTGAGTTTTCTTATCCAACATTTTATTCTGATGTCGGCCAATATCTCCAGGTGTTATGAAATATTTGCCTGGCAAATAACTGGCCTGTTCATTGTACATTTTCCACAATTCCAAATCGTTGCTGCGTAAAATATTGCGTTGTTTGTGTATCAGTTGGTATTTTTCGTTAAAGCATGGTATAATTACAGATTCCAAAAATCCGTTTAATTGGTCCACAGTTTCACGGCCACACATGTATCTGTAATGTAAATTTGTTTTTAATTATGTTTCAAATAGATATGTTATAGTAATACATACTTAGGTATTTTATCGAATTGCTGCTGGGTAATATGTACATCAAATTCCGCAAATAATATAGGAATGGGAGCAATTTTCTTCTTGACCAGTGGTGAGTTTTTGTAGTCGCTGATCTTCAATCTTGGCGTTATTCCGCCTACGTGATTTAAATTTAAACTAGCCATGTCGGTACCAAGTCTTTTAACTGCCGAGGACTTAACAGCACTACCGCCAACGACACTCTTAACACTTTTACCACAACTAAGCAACAATTGAACTTTCTTTTGCTCCTCTTCGGCTTCCCTAAGTTTGCGTTGTTTTTCCTTTATAACATAATCCATGATTACAATTTGTTTTTTTCTCATTTCCGACATTACATTCTCACAGTCTTCTTGAACTTTTTTCATCTCTTCCTGCATGGATTGGTGTGCTAATATCAAGGTGTCCTTAATGTTTGCGGCTTTATCAATGATTTGCCTTAACTCCTTCGTTATATTTTTTTGTCGCAGACTTAAAGCAATAAAGTCATTTAGGCGATCAATTTTACGCTGGGTTTGTTGGACAAATTCCTCAAGGGTTTCAATGTTTTCCATGGTAGAATATATTTAGAACTCCTACTGTTTCACAAATCAAATCCAAAGGCTAGGCGGGGTTAGGGTTAGGTAAGTCGACTTTCGATTAATGCAATCAGAAAATTGACAGAATTTGTCAAAATAACATCAAGTAAAAAAGCGTTCCAATCATAATTCTAATAAACTTTGACGGGCCAACAAAATCGACAAAATTCTTCGATTAAAAACTGCAGCATAATTGCCATATTGTATTGAGTTTTACGTTCATAGTCGTAGTAAAAATGTAACTAGAGTCTTCATTCACGATTGTTTCAGCAATTTTGTGGGTATGTATGTGAATACTTCTCGTCAAAAAGATTTTTCACATGACCTGTGATTTGATCTATAGAGATCAGATTTTTATTGTATTTATTATCGTATTTAGATACAACATTTTATCCAGATTAACCCCGATTATAAGGACTAATTAATTGCTTAGTCTGGATTTATATAAAAATAATTACCATACAAAAATAGATCTCACGGCCGGATTTATTTTAAATCTGTTGTCGAAAGAACATATTAACGGAAGGCATCACTAGATACTACATAAGTATACTTCAAAGTCAAAAATGTTTCCAAACAGCAAAAAAAAACTTTTGCCTACATTTTCGCATTCTATTTTGGTTCACACGGTGGGTGTATTAACTCCAATGTGTTAATCTTCATCAATAGACAAAAGTTTACACCAAAAAAAAAGAATCTATTTAACTACGCAAAAACGTCTTTTCCAAAAATAGATGCTACTCGTCGTGCGTAAATAGAGTTAATATGTAAAAAAAGGTTGTCATTACCGATTTGTGATTAATTTTAATTTTTAACTTTTGTTTGCTCAGTTCAAGAACTGTACGATTTGAAAGTTTTTATTTGTCATGTTTAAACGTAGTGTTAACAACACTAATCAGTGCTCACCAAAGAGTCGATAACAATCGATGGTTCGATTTTCTTGTAAATTGTAATCGATTTATGCCGATAAGTCGAAAATCAACGTACGTATCCCTATTTCCTTTCTTTTGCATCTCGTCGTGATAAAGCCAACATGGGTTTTGCTAATCTCTGGTACTCTCATCCTCGTAAATACGGCCAAGGCTCCAGATGTTGGTAAGTTTGGAATCGTTATTAAATATCCTGCAAAATAATGTTGGAATATCATGGATTTCCTTGGAAAAATCTATAGAAAATTCCATTTTTGTGAGGGTAACCAGAAAGTGAGGTTATGTTGCGATGTGTACGCTGTACAGTCAATGTGCTTTTAGTCAAAATGTCACAACCAATGGAATCCATAATATTTGGAATATAATTTTGTGTTCAAACTGCTTGCCCCCGGTTGAGTTCGGAATTTGTGGTACAAATAACTTTTGCATTTTCCTTAATTAAGGGTGGCTACAACGAATTTTCTAATTGCCATTGCTAAGAGGTCCCCCATACCATGCGGGGGATCTCATTTAGTGATTGGAAGGACAACAATAACGACATATTTACAATACCTATTGACGGATACAAAAATGAACGTGTAATAAATATTCCTATTTGCTTTTTTTCTTTTTTATAGCCGTGCCTGCTCTAACCGTCATGGTTTGATCCGCAAATATGGCTTGAACATCTGCCGTCAATGCTTCAGAGAATACGCCAACGACATTGGCTTCAAGAAGGTGAGTGAATATTACCCATTATTTTCGATATTCATGCTGACTAATTCTTTCTTTATTTGTTAATTGCAGTTGGATTAAATCCGATTCTTTTGATGACCATACTATGAAGAGAAACGCCACACCCCAACCATTAGAAAGTATTATGGACTTTTGTTGCATATAGCAAATGGAATGCGTCACCATTTTAAATATGGGCAGCGGGGTGGTTTTATAAATAACTAATTTTTCCTCATATTGTTGGAAAACCATTTTCCAATAGTCAATAAAAAAAGAATTTCAAAACAATTTTAATTTTTTTAATTTCTTAACCATCTCCATAAAAATTAGAAAAATACACTATATTAGCAAAAGAACAATGTGCCGTAAAACATTTAAAAGATACCCCATGGACATGGATTGATTTCCCTCGCAAAAATAGTTTTATTGGTTTTTATTGAAACACAATTACTTGAAATTAATTTCGTGTTTATTAAATTGATTCTGCTTTCAACAAATTTTATTTAGGAATATATTTCAAGTAACAACTTGTTAGGCTGCAGTGGATGTTGCATGTACCTTGGTTATCTAGTTTTTATTGCTTGGGTGTTGACATCCTTTCTCATTCAGTTGAAACCAGCTTTATATTTACAAAAAAAAATGAATGTAACTTCCTGTTAATGGTAAAGACATATTCGACACTTGTTGCACAGACTGGTTATATGAGTACTCTATTACCAAATAAAACGAATTGTGGCATTGAGTCTGTGTTATCAGAGCAACGAAATTTGATCACTAGGCTAACAACTTTTGCCATATTGGATCGGATTAATTATTTTTGGTGTGATTTATTATATATGTAAAATGAATATTTTATCCTCCATAGGAGCAGTGTTGAGATTAGGGGATGGTCTCGAGTCGTTTTAAAGCTTGATAAAATTGGTAGGAATTTTGACTCTGTTTAGGGGAATGTGTTTGCTGTTTCGAGAAAAATAGGACTGTATCCGATTTAACTAGATCCGTACGGCACAATAAACATTTATTGCACGATACTATTTTTGTTTTCATCGGAATTGTTTTCGGATCAGGATGGAAACTTAATATTTTGGATTTTGAATATGAAAACCTTTCCATATGATGGAGGAGGTAATTTTTCAAAAATTAAATGGTGTAGAAACAAAAAAGAAGTCAAAAATTTAATTCAAAATTAATTTCGTTGATGAAATATCAAAATTTATAATATGGATTGAATATTTGGCCATACACTGTTCTAGGTCACACATAGACGACGGGGACGGTAAGTAAAGTGTTAAGCTCAGCGTACAATTCTGTGGCGGTTTAGCCATGTCCGTCTCTCTGTCCATATTAGATACCATGCTCAAATCAAATCAGGTATAATTAGACATTTCGAGCTCTTATTGGGAAATTAATTTCTCTAGTGGTATTCTCTAAGTCAAAAATCGGTAAAATTAACATTTTCAGCAAGTTAGCGACCAAAATAAAGTAAGTCCAACCGATATTGACAGTGATGACAACTTTAATTTATATTTTTCATTTATAATTGTGAGTTTTAATTTTATCGATATATTTGTCAAAAAAATAATTAGAAAACCTCATCACTGGTTACATGGAGGTCATCATGTAACAATATCTCCTGATTTTCGCTATTTTGAACGTTTTGGTCCAAAAATCAGTAGGCTTATTCTATCACTTTCAACTACACTAGTTATCATTAAAATTTCGTTTATTATTGTAACAAAAGAAGAACAAACTAATTAATTTTTTGTAAACAAAATGAGTAAAGCTATTAAAATGTTACAGAATAGGCCTACAGCCGTAATTTAACCTGTCGGGTTCCTTATATGTAGATTAAATCCTCTCAATATCCATAAGTTGTTAATATGGGTATTGCGGAACCTTTAGGTTTTAGAGATATTGAGGATAGCCGATTTGAAAAAGTGTTAAAAATATTGTCACGGCGGAAGTTAACATAGTTTTTCATGTTTTAGGCTAGAAATGTCGCGAATTGAAGTGAGAAGTAGCCTTGCCAGAAACCCAGACTTAAGAAATTCTTTTGTTTTTGTTTGGAATTTTCTTTTCGAAAATTGATCTCAAAGGTATTATTAATGTTCATTGTGCAGGTGCAGTATCCATATGCTTTGTTTTCTAAATTTTGGGATAATTTTTTCAAAGCGTTGCTTTTTTTCAACTGTTGCTTACAAATTGCATATAATAGTTTGTTAAAAAAGACAGTATTAAAACATTCGCCAAAACTTTGTGGGCCAACATTTTGATCAGATAAAAATCTTGTATGTATATAAAAATATGAGAAGCAAGTCTGGTATGTTTTTAGAGTGGAAAAATGTCTTTCTAATTTAGTTTTAATCTATGTATATTTAAAGCATGTCGCAAATATATATTTATTTAATATTTTGATTGGAGTTATCTTTGGAATACTTTAACAGATCTCTAGGTGCAAAATTGAAGTTTAGAATATTAACATAACTTCCGACCAAATATTTCCTGTATCAAAAAATAAACTATTACGGTTGGTCAACAGATATTGGAAATTGGACTTTAGTAATTCTCATTAAAAACATAACCACAATTACAAATTGCACAAAGTGCAAAAAAAAAAAACATTTGTTGCTACAATGAAATATGTGAAGAATGAATTATTTCGGGGCTAACATTCACGTTTATTGCCATAAATTCAGGAGGTTTTAATACACCATTAAAAAGTAGAGTAATAAAAATGATAATATTAACACAAAATATATTTCGTATTTCAGCTGGGTACACATAGATAGATAGGTGGGGAGAGTGTAAAGTTAAAACAAAACTAAACAACAATCTACTACCTTAAAACACACAGACTTAGAGCCTCACTGACTCTATTTTTAAAGCCGACTACATGAATAGTCTAAGCACCAACATTTTTTTATTGAATACAATTTTCCACAATGAAGCTGGTTTGAATACTGTACAGGGGTTGCAATCAGAAGTTAAGCTGAAAACTGAAATGAAGCTGGAGCGAAAATTAAAAAAATAATAATTATAACACAAGCATAAAACTAATTTGGATGATTCTATCCCTTAGTATCTGGGATTTTTTCCTTAAGGTATGCAGTCATGCAACTACTTATGGGGCTTTTTAATATCAAAGTTAAATGGAATCGGATTACTAGTTTCTTAATTTTAAAATAAAATCTTAAAAAATATAATGGAGTAAAACAAAGATTTTTGCTTATAAAAATCATTTTTTGCAGAGTTTTTTATGGAATTTAGAAAAACAGCCATGCTTTGTTATACCCTCAGCTTTGTTGCGGCCAAAAAGTGCATCATTGGTTTCAAGCCTTATTTATCATTACACAAATATTTTAGGACACACAAAGTAGATCAACCAATGACATCTTGATGGTTGATCCCAAATAGGCATATTATAACATTTTAACCAATTTTACAGGTTAAGAACAGGTTAAGTTCGCAAATGAGCCATATCGGTCCAAGTTTTCGTATAGCTCCCATATAACGTTACCTCCTAATATTCGGTATTTTGATGAAAAGGCTGCACATGTAAGTACTAGAAATTATTAGAATTAGTTTGTTCGAAATTACGGCCGTACCAAATATTCTATCATAGTGAGGAAGGTGATTGCTTTTCTACGGTACGTCGGGTATTTGGTTTCCTGTGACATTTTTCATTTACATGACTTTATAGAACCGTCCATTCAAAATATCAAACATTTTGAACACAATTTTGAAATAAATGTTGTTCGTCCCTATGTTTTTGCCAATATTTCCGTTTCAGGAAATCCAGAAAATTATGAAAGAAGAGCTAAAAAAGAAACAACGCAAATTAGCCTAAATAGAGGAGGTGAGTTCCTTTATCTTCCATATTTTTTGAAAAGATTCCTTGGAATTCGTCCATTTTAAGTGTATAGTGCCTTCGCCAATATTACAGGCATGAAGACTATACACCAGCAACCCCTCTTTTGGGCTATTTTTTTTAAATATGCCTCAAATCTAAAAAAATATGGCAAGACACTTTAGAGATCCCCACAATAACTGAAATATAATATAAGCACTGTAAAAAACAGGATAATTTTTTTTAAATCAATGAATCTTGATCTAATCCAAAACTCCCTATCAATTTTCAATGTTGCGAAATACATCTCAAAATATTGGGCTGTCTTTGTGTATGGCCAAGGCTTTATGAAGGGCTTAAAAGGCACAGCCAAAGAACGTGAAACTTTTTTAGGGCTTAGAAATACAAACCGAATACCATCGAATCCGTTTGAAATTTTCCACAGCCCCTATTGGCTTTGTACTGTGAGATTATAAGAGAACTTGCAGCGAATTCTGAAAATTTGCCAAAAATAGCGAAGGTTGTTTATAGACCAAAATCGATTATACTTTTCTGTAGCACACATTACAGGAGGTGATGAAAAAACTGCAACCAACTCAGACTGCTATCATTTCTAAGCCACTGTTAAAATTATTCCAGTTTACAAGAGTACAAAAGCATTTTGGTGAGAATTTTTCAGAAAAAAATTTATTCGTGATGGAATTCAAGCGTGACAGTGTGATTTCTTTATATTTGGCTGGCACCACAAGTGGCTATCGCTAGAGCACTCCACCATTTAAATGTGAATAAATCTTTTGTGTCTCGCACCATCGCTCGTTACCGTGATACTGGTAACGTAGCCTGACGTCAAGGAAGTGGACGGAAGAAAACAGCAATATCAGCAGAAATGGTTCGAAAAATAAAGAAGCGAATTGATCAAAACCCGCGTCGCAGTGTACGAAAAATGGTTCGTGAGCTGAACATATCGCAATATTCCATTCGGCAAATATTGAAAAATGTGCTCGGGGAAAAGCCATTCCAAAAGATATTCCAAAAGTGCAAAAACTAACAACGCAACAGAAAGAAAATTAACTCAAAAGAGCTAAAGAGTTGCTTCGCTTGGCCGAAAGTGGTGAACTGCCGAATTTGGTTTTCTCCGATGAGAAAACATTCGTTGTCAAGCAGTTTGTAAACAAACAAAATGATCGTGTTTACTTGCCAAAGAGGTCAGCTGAAAATGTATACCTTCGGTTGGCCACCAGAACTCAAGCGCCAGCCATGGCAATGGTGTGGGCTGCCATAACAGCCGATGGTCGCTCTCCGCTCGTATTAATCGACCGTGGCATCAGATTTAATGCCAAATATTATCGCGAACTTATTCTGGAGGGTGTATTAAAGCCTTGGGCACGCAAACATTTTGGCCGCAGACCTTGGACATTCCAACAGGACTCAGCACGCGCCACCCATGAATGTTTACAAAATAAGGTTCAACGCTTTATTTCAAGCGCACAATGGCCACCAAAATCTTCGGATATCAATCCGTTGGACTATTGTGTCTGGAGTATTTTGGAAAGCAAGGTTGGCACTAAGAAATGCTCAAGAGTCGTTCACCTCAAGCAAGCGCTTCGCCGGGAATGGGTCAAAATACCGCAGAGCAACATTCGGGCAGCGTGTGACGGTTTCATTGACCGTTTGAAGACCATAATTCGTGCCAAAGGTGAACAATTCGAACAAATCTAAACTTATTCTCTAATTTGATGCTATTTCCGACATTTTTGCTTTCATTCAATAAAATTAAAAAAAAAAAATGTAAAAATATGGCGTTTGACTTTGTTGTAGTTTTTTTATCCCACCCTCTACTTTCATAACCTATTGGGTTTCTCCTGCAAATATTTTTATCTGTTGCACAGTGTAATCATGAAATGGGTTGACATATGTAATAACCCCTAATTTTCCCACCAATACAGAAATTTAATGAAACGCGAAAGTGGTTACCCCTTCCAGTAGCTCTTCGCTAACGCGCAAAATTTTGACAAATCCTAAATCCAACAAATATTTTTTAAGGACTTCTTGTTCGAAAGTTGTGATGGGATTTCAAGTAAAACTGGACAAACAGTAGCGGATTTAAAAAAATACATATTTTTTCAAGGTCTTATCGGAGAAAATCTTTGATCTGTTGAACAAAATTTCACAAAGACTTTTTCTTCGTATAGATTGGGATTTTTTAAGATGATTCAGAAAAAAAATTTCGTGGTAGATTGTCACTAAATGTCGCGATATTCCATAATGTATCTGCTGAGATAAAATTTCCTAAAAAAGTGCCGAATCCCAATTTTCATATTTTGATTTGAAAACTCCATTTTGAGCATTTAACTAGCTAAGATTACAAACTAATTTTTATGAAATGTATACTTAATATTTTTTTAACCACTGTGCAGCCTTACCTTTACTGCTGCTGTTGGTATTTGTTTTTTTTTTTGCACTTTAAACTTAACTAAACCAGCTAGGCAAAGTAACGTCAGAGCAAGAGAAGAAATGGACGGATGCATGCTATGCCATTGGAGTCAGTGGTAACAGCAGCAGCAGTAGCAACAACAACAAAAGCAATGGTAGCGATTGAGCCTCAATGCGAATGCGCGAATCTGTGCGAGTCAAAGAATTGGAGTTTAAAACCTATACCAGTCGAAAACGAGACTTCGACCATTGAGCACGCGAGCGTTTAACAGCGGAACTTGTCGTTAACATAGACATTTAAAAATAGTGGCGAAAGATTCAAGCATAACCATAATTGACCATTTTAATTTTTTTAAGTTAAGTTAAGATCAAAATTAAAATAAAAACTTAAAAAGACAGCTGTCATTCATTCAAAAAAAAAAAAAAAAAAGCGTTAAGAAAAAAATCAGTGATCAATAAACGAGCAATCAATACCATTAGATTTGGTTATATTGTTTTTGTTTTTTTTCTTCGCCGTGATATCGAAAATTTACAATCAAAACAAAACGCAGAGAACAATAACCCCATTCATTCAAACATACATATATGGTGGTGTTGATCGGCAACAATGGTGTTTTAAGGTCAAACTGACCTCAACATACATTCTCCCCGATGCCGAAAAAAGTTTGCCGGATTAGACAGGGCACATAGACGAGTTTTCGTATAAATCAGTGCAAATTAAGAAAAAAATTGAAAAACCCAAACATATTTATGTATGTACACATGTGTGTTTATTTATAAAAATATCCATAAATAGTTGTAAGAAAGTCTCCCCCACACACACACACCGGACAAACAACCATGAAAATCCAGCTGAGCCATCGTGACTGTTTGTTGCAGGCAACATGCGGCATGTTGCTGTTTTTAGTGGCGGTCACTTATGCAACATCACAAGCGGAAGTAAATGCCGCACAACATTTACCTCCAAAGCCATTGAAATTTGGTCAAAAGATAGTCGAAAACGAAGTTTTTCAGCCCACATCTGGAAATTTAAGAGAAAGGACAGCCATCAGTAGTACCCAAAATAATAATTTTACCTTAAACCAGAGGAGACAACAACCCACAACCCATAGAACGGGCGAAGGGATTGCATCACGAAGACCAAATGAAAGTCGCACTTCAAATCGACAAACTTCTTCAAGAAATGAACATTTCCTACCCACTGCCCTAACCCAAGCCCGTGATCAGCCAAGGCAGTCGTCGAGCAGAAGATATCAAACACAACTTGAGGAATATCTATCGCTACCAACTCAACTACCTCCTGCGGAAACGACCTCACATATTTCACGAAGACACAATGCGGGTGGCTCAAAGCAAAATGAAATTATTGTGCAACAATATGATATACCAGCAGTGCAAAAAAGCCACCATGCTGGAGTCACCCCCACCACAACGGTTCATAAGTCTGCAAACCCCTCTACAACAAGAGGTCAACAACGTTCCGCAGCACCGCCACCAGCAACAAATGCAAATCGATCACGTCTTTCCCACACAAATGTAATAGAATCAAGCATTGCCTCCACACTGCGTTCTCTCACAAATGTGGGACGACGTCAGCAATCAAAGACGTCTACAGCAACCACAACCATACAGCCTAAATCATCACGTCTTGCTGGTACACAGAAAAATTCTCAACATTCAACTGTGCCATCATCATCCGCTTCGTCTTCTCCAACCTCACGTAACTCAAATCATAGTACCTTCGTAACAAAAAGCACAGCAAGGAATAGCAACGGCAGCCCCAACCAGAGAGTATCAAATCGTCAGCATGGAACACCGCCAACATCTGAACGTAGTAATGGACGTAAAATTGTAACAACCACAGCGAGTGGACAAATTCAAAAGCAACAAAAGATAAATGCAGCTAATCATAGCAGCCGATCAAATGCTAATAGGAAAGCTCCATTGAATAGCAGCAGTACCACAGCAGTGGGCACCACAAGTAAGTTGAATTATTTAGGAATTTTCACAGTTTTTTTTTTTTTTTATAAAAAATTTCAATGTTTATTATGTTGTGTCTAAAAACAATTATTTTTATATGAAGTTGGTATGCTAATCGAAAGGGGGTATAGCACTTTTAAAGCTTTGTTTTATTTTTAAAATGTTTGATTTTGTTTTTTTAAATGTTTCATAAGAAAAAATAATAATTACTTTGTTGTTATAAATCTTTAATAGAATTTGCAAAATATTTGAGCGATTTTTTAATCTCTTAAATAGTTTTAGTCAAGCGGTGTTAAAACATCAAAAATCATTCAATAAGAACTTTTTGGCAAAGCAGTGGATTTTTTAAAGAATATATTATCTTGTTGGAAAATATAGTGGATTTCTCAATAACTACATGGGGAAGTTTATGGATATGTTAGGACCGTTTCTTCGAGCTTGAAAATGTTGGAAAAATGCCACCAAGATCAAAGGCTAGAACGAATCCACTATTTGAAATCCAATATTCATTAGAATTCAAATCAATGTTAAAATTTCCTGCGAGAAAATATCAAAATGTGTTTGGCTACAAATCTTTACTCATGTTCATATAAATTAGCATTTCGACCAGAGAGGAACTGTAAAGGTTAAATATGTACACGGTATGATATATCGATTTTTAAAGATTTCAATCGATGTTTACTAATTTGAATATTTGCTTTCCAAAAATTCATAACAATTTACACTTCACACTCATTTAAATATTCTTTAAACTATCCCAATAACTATCTATAGATCTTTACAACCAAAATTTAAAAACCTTCATTTTTTGATTAAAATTGATTCAAAGCATTCGTTAAATCTTAATGGTGTAGGGAGTTTTACTTCTAGACCATTTCCGGTCTACAACATCTACGTTTGTATGTTTGTAATTTATAGACTCCAAAATCTCACAGATTTTCCTGAAAATTTCCAAGTATACTGCAACATCGCCTGGAATGCGCGAATTCCACTTGGAACTGGGAAATTGGAGGTACCTCCCAAAAATTTAGATTTTATATGCACATATCTATTTATCGATTACAGATACAGATCCAAATTTGGAATGCGTAGGGGAATTTGGAACAAAAATAAATTTGTCAAATTATACCGAAATCGGTTATGATTTGGATATAGCTCCCATATATATTTTCGGTCGATTTCATGTATTTGATGCATTAAACACGCTGTTTACGCCACATTTCAATGAAATTTGGAATGTGTGATGGAATTTGTCTAAAAAACGTGTTTGTCAAATTATATTGAAATTGGTTCAGATTGGGATATGCTTTTCTCATGGTCAGCTGTTCCTGGCATGTTCACGCGTTCCGAGACCGATCTATTTGTTTGTTTATGCATTAATATTACGTTTTTAAATTTTTATTTTATTTTTTTAACCAACAAATATTTGTATATAAAATTTTGAATGCATATAAAATCAAAAAAGGTAGCGATGCGCACCGGGTTCAGCTAGTGCTTATATTACTTCCCGAACTAAATTTTTCTACTTAATACCAATGACATCCAATTTTGTGCTATTTGCAACTGTTGGTAAAACTTACTTTGGTATATTTATCCCATTACCGACCCTCATTTCAAATTTCAGAATTCTGGCTTTATCCGATTGACCAATACAATGGACTTAATTTTTGTACAGTAGTTCGATTTTCAAAAACCCAGACTTATCGCACCCCTAAACATCAACATCGATCTAATTGCAAATCGACCAGACTCTAGATTTAGTCGTTTAGCTTGAGTCAGTCAGTCAGGCACCCAACCATTACTCTATTTATACCCTAAACCACAAGGTGGTCAGGGTATTATGTCTTTGTGCATTTGTTTGTAACAGGCAGAAGGAAACGAGATAGACCCATAGTTCCTTTTGATAATCTGTATAAAATCACATTCTGAGTCGATTTATGCATGTCCGTCTGTCCGTCCGTCCGTCTGTCCGTCTGTCCATGTATTTTTGTAAACAAAGTACAGGTCGCATTTGTTGCCCGATCCAGATGAAATTTTGCAAAGATCTTTTGTTTGGCCCAAGGACGAACCCTATTGAAATTGGAGATAATCGGTAAAAATTTAGATATAGCTCCCATATATATCTTCGTCCGATTTGCCTTTTATTGTGCACCAAACGTGTAATATCAGCCCGAATTGTATGGAATTTTGCATATACACCCAAATTAGGCCTGAAAAAATGTATGCCAAATGTGATCGAAATCGGTTCAGATATAGCTATAGCTCCGATATATATTGTTCATCCGATTTGTTATTTTTGTCCACCGCCAAAATGCACTGCACTATGCAACAACAATATTTGGGGAAATATATCAAATACAGCTCAGAAATACATTTGCTAAATTTTATCGAGATCGGTTCAGATTTGGATATAGCTCTAATATATAACTTCGTCCGATTTACCTTTTATTGTGCACCAAGCGTCTAATATTTGACCAAATGGTATGGAATTTGGCAATTACGACCGAATTGAGTCTAGAAGCTAGTATGTGAAATTTGGTGAAGATCGGTTCAGATATAGCTTTAGCTTCCATATATATTATTCATCCGATTTGTTATATTTGTTACCCACAACCGTAATATGCACTCCGTAACAACGATATTCAGAAAAATATATCAAATAAGCTCAGAAATATCTTTGCCAAATTTTATCGAGATCGGTCCAGATTTGGATAAAGCTCCCATATATATCTTTATCCGATTTCAAATTAATTGTGCACCAAATGGGCAATACAATTCCGAATTTAAAAGATACAAATGCTTCGGCATATTTAGTGCTTTGAACTTTAAATTATAATTATAATCATATGTGGAGCTCTACTTAATTAGCAAAATGGTGTATGGTATCATAAAGTCGGCCCCGCCCGACTTTAAGACTTTCTTTACTGGTTTTTTATACCCTCCACCATACATAGTATATTAAGTTCGTCATGCCGTTTGTACCTCATCGAAATAATAATTTTAGACCTAACAAAGTATATATATTCTCGATCGGTGTAAAATTTTAAGACAGCTTAGCCCTGTCCGTCCGTCTGTTGTAATCACGCTAAATTCAAAACGAATTAAGATAGGAAGCTAAAATCTCTTTTGTCTGCAGGCAGGTCAAGTTCGAAGATGGGCCATATTGGTCCACGGTATCTTATAGCCTCCATATAACATTACCCCCGATATTCGGTATTTTGATGATTTTAGCCACATTTTTCAACGGAATCGTCTAAAATTCTACACAATGTGAGAGAAATGAACTGAGAACTAGAAGAGAATTGTCTATATAGGTTTACAATATCGTATATCCCTCATATAACGGTACCTAACGATATTCGGTATTTTGATCATTTTAGCACATTCTCAATGGAATGGTCTGAAAATCTACACCAGGAGTTCCTTCTTTACTTTACTCCCTCGAAGAGAATTGTGTATATAGGTCCACGATATCGTATAGCCCCCATACAAAGTATTTAAAGTTTGTATTTGTCTATTTATTTCGTATTTAAAGTTCGGAATTGTTTCAAATTTCGTATTAAAAGTTTGTAATGAGTACTATAAACTTGGACGAAAAATTGTCTATGTAGGTCCACGTCTTCATATAGATAACTTATAATGGCACCTCCCTTTATTCGATGTTTTAACATTTGGTCCATTTTTTACAGGAATTGCTTCAATTTTCGTATTTAAAGTTTGTAATGGGTACTACAGCCTATGACAAAAAAATTAATAACTTAGGATAATGTCTTCGTATAGCCCCCATATTTTCCGACGGTTTTTTTTTTGGAAATTTTTTAGGTCCTTTTAAAATGATGGAGGGTACTAAAAGTTCGGCCCTGCAGAATTTATCTGCTTCCTTGCTGTTTTATATAAATTTCCTTAGTTGCTTAGAAATTTTCAAGCCTTATTTCGGATTTATGAATCTGAGTTGAAATCAAAAATATTGTTTGGTTAATGTTTTATTTTTTTAATCCAACCAATGATTGCTTGTAGGGGTGCCACATTTATTTATTTAAGAAACATTCGAACAAGTTTTGTTTTGTTGTTGAACTTGAACTACATATTTTCTTTACGATAAATTAACTATTCAATTAGTAATGGTACAATAACCATGCAAGACTAATAAAACGAATGTGTGGAAATCAAGGAGAATGAAATTCGGTAGTTTGTTTTTTATAATTGAAACAGTTATTGCGATTAAAAAAATTACCAAATTATCCAGAAAAACTAAAATTTTTGAATATGAATTATTGGTCAGAAGTATGTGTCATTATATTCAATATACAGGGTGAGATGAAAAAACTGCAACCAACTTCAACTTCCGAAAGCTCTTAAAATTATTCCAGTGACAGCTCATTATATTGTTTATAAGCGTACAAAAGCATTTGGGTGAGAATTTTTCAGAAAAAAGTTATTCGTGATGGAATTCCAGCGTGATAGTGTGATTTCTTTATATTTGGCTGGAAAACCACAAGTGGAAGAGGACGGAAGAAAGCAGCAACATCAGCAGTAAGGGTTCGAAAAGTAAAGAAGCGACTTGATCGAAACCCCCGTCGCAGTGGTCGAAAAATGACTCGTGAGCTGAAAATATCGCAATATCCCATTCCGCAAATATTGAAAAATGAGCTCGGGGTAAAGCCAAACGTGACCAATTCGAACAAATCTAAAGTTATTCTATTCTTATAGCAATAAATTTTAATGCTATTTGCGACATTTTTTGCTTTCATTCAATAAAATTAAAAAAAATGTAAAAACTATGGCGTTTGGCTTTGTTGCAATTTTTTTTATCTCACCCTGTATATCTTCTCTAGACTCTACATGTTTTAATAAATCTAATTATTAATAATCGTAGGTGTCTACACCAATTTATATTAGTTGAAGAACACAATCAACTTTTTGCTTCGACTGTAATTGGATGTTTGGTGCATTATCTGCAGTAGATGTATGCACTGCGCTGGCCTACAAACGCACCGCATT